AGCGGACAGCTATGCAGTTTGGCTTCATTAGAGATTTCTTCTCTTTCCTGTTAGTCACATAAAACTCCTCAAAAATTAATTAATTACCTGCTAAAACCTCCCTGAGCAGAAGTTATTGTTTAGAACTAACAGGCCACAACAGATTAAAAAGGGTAAAGCACTCTAATGCAGCATTCCCATCTCTTTTCACAGCACTGCCTGGCTGGCTGGGAAAATATCATCCCTTCCAGCAACCCCACGCTCAGCAGTTTGGATCTGCGAGCTTCACTGGAAGAGAAGCCTTCTCACCATCCTCGCCTGGTAAGAACAGCCTGTTAAGAGTCCCTGGAGATGCTGTGAATTGCACATATGGGAACTGCAATCCCATCTCTCTGAAGGGTATGATAATCATTGATGATGGAGCAAATGAAAATGCCTGGAAGATTATCTCCTTATCTGCACAGGGAAATATTTTCCTTCCGCTGCTGTGTAAACTAGTGTGCACAGACAAAAAAAAGCAAGTGGAGCTGGATAACAGCCTGTTCAGCTCACCAATCTTCATCAAAATGGGAAAAGTCACTTTGGCATTTTTTGTTTAATATCTTCTTCGTTTGGATTCCAGAACTCGGTGTCCAGAGTGTCAGAAAGAACCAGAACTGACCAGCTTCTGAACCTGACCCACTTGACGCACTTCGGATTTAGCAGTGCTTCTCAACAGAGCGAGCAAAACAAACCTGGACACTACAGAGAAGCTCCAAATTTAAATCCGACTGCCTCAAGTCTGTGAACCACTGACTTGATTGTCCTGGGGAAGGGATAGGCGCAGGGTGTGAAAACAACTCTATTTGGATAAAAATAAATCTTTGAACAGATTTTTTCCTAGTTTTCATAGTCATGCGCATAAGTGAGCAACTGATACACATAGCTGAATGTACAAACTTTCATATATGTTTTTTCACTTTTCTTTTTTGCCTTTTGCAGCTACTTCTAAGCAGATGCGTGAGCTTTCCCGCCTAGGGCTGGATAAAGTGATGTGTACAGGATGACTAACTAGTAGACACCTGTAGCGACAGAGTTCATCCGCCACCTCACCTAAGTAAACCAGAAGTGTAACGCTAACTCTGAATGCCAGGGTGAGGAATTGGCCTATGAGTGGCCTGGGTCAGTGGAATGCATACAAATATGTTCATTTCCAGATGTTTGAAACATGACACGTTATTTGCTAGTGCCTTAAACTTAAGTTACTCAATAATTTAGTTAAAACAAAAAAAAAAATAGTTTCTTTTCAGTGCAATGTACAGGGTGCATTACATCAGAGTAATTACAAATGTGAAAAAGCATGTTAAAGTAAAATGAGGTTTTATTCATCATAAAGCTAGATAATGCCTTAAAACGTTTGCAAATTATACTTGCCTCTGCTTTTCCAAGTTTTTTTGGAGATAAACAAAAAAACATTTTGGAGTTCTTAAATTGTACCAAAACAAAATATATTATATAGTGTGGTTTGTTTGAACTTTATAGACTGTTCTTACTTTCCTTGTCTAAAAACAATAAACCTGATGTTTTATTTTGCCTTGATTAAGTCTGAAACAGAAATCCCTGCCTTAAGAATTCTGTAAGTTATTGTGAAATCTTTACTAGCAATTGCATTCAGAAACTTTGGATCAAATTTATTTCTGGGAGCTAACTTGACAAAATGAATTGGGTTTACATCAGTGATATTTTCAGCTTCTTGGCATTCATTGTTATTTATATATCAAATACATCATGTATAAATATATGAATAGACTTTTTTTAAGCAAGGAAAGGAATATTGCAAGTTTATGAAATCTTAGTGTGAGACTTAGAATGGAAAATGAAAAGCTGACTGATCAGTTTAGCTTTGCGTTGTGCATATGTAAGGTGAAGTTGATGGAAGTGGTCACATTATTTCCATTTTCAAAAATACTACTTTTAAAAGAAATTAATCCAGTGAATATAAAACACTAGCTGCCAATTGTTATACTAAATAGGGCAAATTCAAGATTTTTACTACCTTGCCTTCACCCCAAAACATTAGAAGTCATAAACCTCTTCTTAATTTATCCTGAAACAAATCACAGCAAGCCTGCTCCACTATAAACAGAGAAAATGAAGCACTGTAAGATTAAGTAACTTAAGTGAGATCTGTCTGGTGAATGTAGGACGGAACCAATGTTAAACTCAAACTGTCTCTTGATAGCTAGGAATACATTCAGTCTTTTGCACTTGTGAAAGCATTGAAAGTGTGATTATGACTCTCTTCCTCCACTAGAAACAGGTGAAAGAAGTCAGTGACACTGCACCTGCTTACCCAAGTTAACCTCAATTTGTCTTTTTGTATGTTGGTGCTGGCCTGTTTGATCCTGCCCTCATTTGCAAGCTGAAACAGACTGAAGATGCTACCTATTTATGGAACCTCTTTTTTTTTTTTTTTTTTGTTTATTACTCTTTCAGAGCAGAAAATCTGATTTGCATATTAGCTTAGAGAACTACCTGATGGTTCTATGTTGTTTTTATAGTTATGTCTCCATGTCAGTGCAGAATAAGCTTATATCATGATCCTTTTTGCATGGGGAATCTAACCAGTGTGCTCAGGTTTTCCAGTACAGCTTAAGCAGACTGTGTTTTGAAATTTCTACTCTGAGTAGTGCCCAGGTCAGTTTGTAGTTGATAGTATACAGAAACAGATTTATCTGCTGGCCAACTTGATCTTCTCTTTCCATTCGTAATTGAAATTATCAAAGATTTTGCAATTGGAGCTTGGTTAATATTGTTGATACATGATCCAGAATTTAATCTAGAACCCTTTGTTTCTAGCGGCACTGTTTCTCTGGAAGAGAGACAGGAGGTCTGAAAGTGATTAAACCCATATTTTTTTGATTAGGACATCTGGCCATGGATGGGCATGGAGGCCTTATCTACTAGTAGGAAGGTGATTCATGTATAGTCAAGCTTCTGATCATAATCTCACTTCAAGGTAGAGTTACTAAAAAGATGCTTGCTGTAATTTCATGTGACCTACAGCTGAGGTAAACGTGTGTACCCCTTTCATCTGTTTTCTCACAATCACTCTGCTGAGATATCTGTAAGGCTATGTGCCAAGCAGTGTGTCTGCTGATTGTATTCAAGATGTCAAAGTTACAAATCCTAGTTAGTTTATTTTGAACAGCAGTAATGCAAGGAATAACAATAGAAAAGTCATTTCCAGAAAATGAGGTCATGCTTCATAAGAACCAGATTTTTTTATTTTTGGTACTGCATATGAGATGAAATCTCAATCCAAAAGATGGGCAAAGGAAGTTTTATCCAGCCTAGAGTAAAGATAAGTAACAGGCCTGCACAAGATGCCTTTGAACCATGTGCTGTGAGTAGTTTGGGTGTGGATACATTAATGAGTTATAGTGTAATAACAAGGTTTTGCACAGTGGCTTTGTCCTACAGTAAGTGTCACTATGCAGTCCAAGATAATACACCCTTTCATGAAGGAGGGTGATTGAGATGTCACCTGGGGGTACATTGTAAAGGAATACATCTATTTACTGGTTGAAAAATTGCATTTCATCTGGTGTTAAAGCAGCTTCTGCATTTGGACCATGGACTCTGCAGCAACCTGAGCTGTGATGGAGCCAGTGCTGGAATCTGCATGTCCAGGGGAGAACAGAGGCTTGGGGTAGTGTGCGTGGGATGTCGGGATTGTGGATTAGGAAAACGGGAACGTTTTGAGGCTGGGGGTTTCTGGCGAGGAGGCTAAGCAGAGGTGAGACTGTGGGAATACATAGGAAGCCAGAGTGGTGAGAGGTGTGTTGGGAGGCGACAGAGGGCCTGAAATACGGGGACTGTGGAAAGGAGGGCTGGACTGGGAAAGTAGGAATCTAAGATGTGGGGTGGAGGGAGACCTTTGCAGATTTGGGGTTCAAAATGGCGTGGTAAGGCAGGGTTCCCAATAGTGTACCAGTATCTCCAGGGCTATGTCCTTAGCCACAAAGTAATACAAATACTGAACTTTGTTGTGCAGGCACAGGGCTCTGGGATAGCTTGTCTCCCGTTCCTGGAGGTAGTCATGCTGCTGCATGGCCTGTGGCCAAGATTTAGGGAGATAGGTGCCCCTAATGCCTGAGATGCACAGTAATCCCCAGGGAAAAAAAGAATTCTTTACAACAGTTGTTGAGGAATGATTTGCTTAAGCCTGGCTTCGTTTGTGTTGCCATTACATTAGAGACTAGGAGATGTTTGTTGTAATGGTTTTAAGATGAAATTTTTTTATCTTGATCAGCTAGGGGTGGAAAGAGAGAACTCAATGGTGCCCATAGAGAAGTGGCAGTCTATTCCCAACTGTCTTCTACAATGGGGCATAAAATCCCTCAGGGAGAAGACAGGGATCCTTCAGTCTGATGTGTGACTGGTGTGCGTGATTACAGTGGAAGAATTTACTGGGAGAATATTTGGCAAAATTGGAAGCTACTATGTTGCTCACACTTTGATGCCAGTAGAAGCTGGAATAGCCAAAGTGAAGCCCAGCATTCTTGACTTGACCTGGATTTTTTTTTTTTCCTGTTCATAGCACTTGGAATGTGCTGGCTTAGTCTGTGCAGCTGTGTCTTCGGTTAATGGCTGGCTCCAGTGTGCGTGCCCATTTGTGTTAGTTCTCTTTTGGCATGAGTGATGACTGTCTCATGCTTTGATGGTAAAGCTGGTGCTTTAGTTCCCCTTTCTGACTGTATTGCATGTATATAACACTGATTCATAAGCTGGGAAATACAGCTTTGCTAATTAAACAAATTAGACACAGTAAACAATGCATGGTTGATTGGTTTTAACAGAGAAGTGTAGGTTCAGCCTTTAAAACATAGCTCCGTCTCCTTCTCAGTAACAGTGTTAGACTGCCATCAGTGTTTTGTCTGTTTGCTTCCTCTAGGATTATTGTAGGACAGTTTTGGTGATGTCTCAGGATCAGGTGTTTCTTTCTGTCAGTACGTTGTAGGCATTAATATCAAGAGTCTTGAATGAATGTAGTGCTGATTTATTCGTTCTGTTTAGTTATCAGCATGTCAAGGAATGACTGTCTCCAGAACCCTCAGGTGAAAGAAACATCTGCATGTGTCATGAGCTTACTTTTTGAGTGATTTGCAAACTTTGATTTTTGAGGCTTTCATCTCTTTGGAACTTGTGTTTTCAAAGCCCAGAAGAATTTGTTGTCAGAGTGTGTCAAATCTGAAAACACAAGAGAAATTCTGCCCTTTCTCTTTGGAGTTAAAAACCTCAGTTTCACCAGTTTCCTGGGTAATGGCAGACCACACATAAGGACTTCATTTTCTGCTTCAGCTGGTGTATTCCACTGGTTTCTGCAGAGCAAAAACATGCTGCTAGGAAGAGGAAAATAAGACCCTAAACTGTCAAGAGTTGAGATGCTCAGCTATAGTCATAGAAAAAAGTTTCACACTCTTTGAAAGAAGTGTGTGTCCTGAAAATCTTCCCATTTGTTTCTTTCACAAAAATTATTTAGTATTTCCCAACTTTCTTTTGTTTATGTCAGCAAAGGAAAGCTCATCTTGCTTCTCTTAATAGATAAGCTTTATAGCTCTCAGCTTTTGGATAAGGAGAGCCAGAGTACCAAGAAAGGCTATAAGTTACCCAAAAAGTCTGTGACAGTACTGGGAACTAATGACTCCCACTCCTGTGTTTTAACTATATGGCCAGTCTTCCCCAAACATTTTTATTTTCGATTTTGGGTTAAAATGTATAGAATTGGAACTCTTGGTGCTTTTTCAATTTCCTTGTTTTACTCCGCAGGCATATACATAGAGCACATTTTAATTACAGCAGTAACATTAACAATTGCATATCGGTGAACAAATGAAAAATATTTGCACAAAGGGTAGTTAACAAGGAAAACTCAGGCATATCTCCTTTTTATTTTGAACTTAGTATGAGTAAGATTCTTTGTCTTTCCAGTAATAGACACCCAGAGTTATGCTGTTGAAGTCACTAGAGTTTGTTTGGATTTATATTTGTGTAAATGTGAGCA